TGTGTGTGTGTGTGTGTGTGTGTGTGTGTGTGTGTGTCTGTGTGTGTGTGCGTTAAGTTGGTAACTCCTTTCTCATACATCTGTCAATGCTCAAGATCTCTCAGTGGTACACTCGAATTGTATTGTTTAAGTGGACCATCCACACTCTTTACAAAAGATTTTAGTTTCACAATTACTAAGTCACTGGCTACTCACCCACTCATCATCATCATCAAACAATTCATAGACACCAAAATCCATGCCCTCTGGAAAACAAGTTCAAAAAACAACTTAGGAAACTCCCCACCGACCCCAACAAGAAAAACGAAATAATTCCACCTTCTCGCAACATAGCCTCACATCTCCCCCCTGAACAGTGACCTCACATATCAGACAAACCCGCTAGCACCCTCCTCCAGACCAAATCGATATGTAAGACCAAGCAAGTCCAATCCATAGTTACCGCGACCCAGCTCCTCCTCCACTCACAACACAACAGCACCTATAACAATCCCCCGAGTTTCGACTAACCGATCTAACTCCCCACAGGTTTACTCTAGCACTATCATCCCCTTCTCCACCACCCCCAAATACAACACATCACCTGGCTTCCAGATTATCCGGTTTGAGCAGCTTAATGTAACAAGATAGACACAAAAATATAGCAAATCCTTAAACTGACCAGAGTCTAAGATTTGTGCAAGAGTCTCCGCAGAAAACCTCAGAGGGTTCAGAGTTTTAGCAAAGACGACCAGCAGCTCCAGCAAGTAAGGAGTGTCTGACAGTCAAGGAGCTGAGAGGAACAGTTTGGAGAGGGCCCAAATAGATAAGCCACAAACAACAGAGCAAAGAGTTAGTCAGAATAGCAACCAAAGAGCAGAAGTAGACCAGGCTAACTTAGGCAAGGGTGAGGGGTGGTACATCCTTCCTACAGGAGTAATCAATGCCGTCCCTGGGACCTTCCCACCATAAGGGGGAGGAGCGTGTATGAGTGCTCATTGTAGTTCACTTGACTTGCCGGGGGAATAGGAACCGGACTGATGCTCCCCAGAATGGAAAAGGAGCCAGAACCGTAAGGTTATGTTTAAAAAAAAAAAAAAAAAACGAAATAATCAAAAAGTTTTCAACCTCCAAACTAGGTAATACCGTAATGGGATACTACCGTCTTCACCCGAATAGAACGCCTGGTAGTTATTGCCGTATCTGCGCTGAAAGTTGTGCCAAATACAGCTATAATAACCGGGCGTTCTATTCGGGTGAAGACGGTAGGCACAATCAACAATAACTGACTAACTCTCAAAAATTCGCTAATTACAACACAGACAGACACAAAGCGCCTCGCCTCAACAACTCCCCTATCCCGCGCACAATTACCCCAAACCAGTCACCCACCCACCAATAATCCACCTCCGACCCAGTAAACCCCCCCCCTCCCCCCAACAA